GCAAAACTTTAGCTAGACTTAAAAAAAAACAACTCATATAAATAAAACCAGAAAGAGGAAACATTTCAATGGGCAGCACATACAAAGATCATAAGAGACTACTATGAACAATTACATGCCAGCAAACTGGATAACCTAGAAAAACGGATAAATTTATAGAAACATAAAACCAAACAAAACTGAATTGTGAATAAATTAAAAAATCTAAACAGACCAATAATGCTAAAGATACCGAATTAATAATCAAAAACCTCCAAACAAAGAAAAACCCAGGACCTGGTGGTTTTACTGGTGAATTCTAACAAACCTTGTAAAAAGAATTAACACCAATCCTTGTTGAACTCTTCCAAAAAATGAAAGAGGAGGGAATACGTTTAAACTCATTTTATGAGGCCAGCACTACACTGATACCACAGCCAAAGAGCGCCAAAAGCAAAAATCAACAAGTGGGACAACATTGAACTTACTTCTGGAGAGCAAAGGAAACCATCCGCAACATAAAAAGGCAACCTAATGGATGGGAGAAAATACCTGCAAATCACATATCTGAGAAGGGGTTAATACAGAAAATATATTTTAGAAACTTGTAAAAACTCAACGGCAAACAAATAATCTGATTAAAAAATGGGCAGAAGATCTGAATAGACTTTTTCTTTTTTTTTTCCCTAAAGAAGACATAAAGATGGCCAACAGGTACATGAAAAGGTGCTCAACGTCAAATTATCGGGTCAATGCCAATCAAAACCATGATGAGATATCACCTCGCACCTGTTGGAATGGCTGCTGTCCAAAGACAAGATATAACAAGTGTTGTTACAAACAAGTGTTATAAACAAGTGTTGCAGATAAAAAGGAATATTTGTGGGGCGCCTGGGTGGCGCAGTCGGTTTAGCGTCCGACTTCAGCCAGGTCACGATCTCGCTGTCCGTGAGTTCGAGCCCAGCGCTCAAGGCTCTGGGCTTTAAGGATGGGCCTGGAGCCTACGCCTATTTGTGTTTCGTTTCGATTCTGTCCCTCTCTCTGCCCTCCATCCTCGGTTCATGCTCTGTCTCTCTCTGTCCCAAAAATAAATAAAAAAACGTTGAAAAAAAAAAAAAAAAGGAATATTTGTGCACTGTTAGTGGAAACATAAATTGGTACAGCCACTTTGGAAAACATGGAGGCTCTTCAAAAAATTGCAAATAGGGGCACCTGGGTGGCTCGGTCGATTAAGCGCCCGACTTCAGTTCAGGTCACGGTCTCATGGTCATGGCCCCGTGCTGGGCTCTGTGCTGCCAGCTCGGAGCCTGGAGCCTGCTTCAGATGCTGTGTCTCCCTCTCTCTCTGCCCCTCCCCCGGCTGCAGTCTGTCTCTGTCTCTCTCAAAAATAAATAAATTAATTAATTTATAGAACTACTGGAGGATCTAGCAATTCCACTTCTGATTATTTATCCAAAGAAAACAAAAACACTGAATTGAAAAGATATGCATTCCATGTTCACTGCAGCATCATTCACAAGCATCAAGACACGGAAGAACTTAAATGTCCGATGATGGGTATGTGGATAAATAAAACGTGGGGTGTATGCACAATGGAATACCACTGAGCCATTAAAATAAGCACTATCTTGCCACTGGCAACAAAGTGGATGGACCTTGAGGGAATTATGCTAAACAAAGGCAGTCAGAGAAAGACAAATACTGCATGATCTCACTCAATGTGTGGAATCTAAAATAACCAAAAAAGTGAACTCAGAGAACAAACTGGTGGTTCCAAGAAGCAGGGGTGCAAGGGCATGTTAAAGGAGTGAAGGTGATCACAGGTACAAATTTCTAGTTACATAATGCCTAAGTCCTGGGGAGGCAATGCACAGCATGAGGACTACAGCTAATAATTCTGTACCACATACAGAAAAGTCGTTGAGAGAGTAGCTCTTAAAATTTCTAAGCACAAGAAAAAAAATCTATAACTACGTGTGCTGATGGTAACTGGACTTCCTGTGGTGGTCATTTCACAATATATACAAATACTAAACCATTATGTGCGCACCTAAAACTAATTAATATAATGTTGTATGTGAACTATATCTCAGAAAGGAAACAGAAAAATAAAAGAATGATAACAAAAACAAAGGCAGTACAAAAAAACAAAAAAAAGAAAGAAAAAAAAAGAAAGGCAGAAAACGAAAGACCAATATTCTTCATGTATATGAATGCCAAAATCCTTAACAAAATACTAGGAATAAAATTCAGTAACACATAAAAATAATTATACACCATGACCAGTGATGTATATATTCCAGGGATGTAAGTTTGGTCCAATATTTCAAAATCAACCAATCTAATCCACCATACTTATAGGCTAACAAAAGGGGGAAAAATCACATGTTCATATCGATAAATGCAGAAAAAATACTTGACAAATTTCAACAACTATCTGTGATAAAAACTCTCAGAAACACAGAAATAGATGTGTACTTCTGACTTGGTAAAGAGCACCTATAAAAAATGTGTAGCTAATATTACGCTTGAGGGCAAAACACTGAAGGCTTCCCCCTAAGACTGGGAAGAAAGCCAGGATGTATATTCTCATCACTCTTCTCCAACACAGCGCTGGGGATTCTAGCCAGTACAACAAAAAGAAATGAAAAGCACACAGATTGAAGAGGCAAAAACAAAACCGTCCTATTTGCAGATGCATGATGATTAGCACAGAAAATCCTAAGGATTCAATCAATTAAAAAGGAATCAATTAGGGGCGCCTGGGTGGCTCAGTCGGTTGGGCGTCCGACTTTGGCTCAGGTCATGATCTCACGGTTCTTGAGTTCGAGCCCCGTGTCAGGCTCTGTGCTGACAGCTTGGAGACTGCTTCAGATTCTGTGTCTCCCTCTCTCTCTGCCCCTCCCCTGCTCATGCTCTGTCTCTCTCTGTCTCAAAAATAAATAAAACATTAAAAAAAAATTTTTTTTAGGAAATCAATTAAAAAAAAAAAAACACCCTCTGAGAGCTAATAAAATGGGCTTACTCATCTCAATCTATATTACCTCTCTGAAGATAAATCCCTAACCATCCCAGCTGGTCACTTTTTTCAGTGTCAAATAACTAACACATTCAGTGCTCTTGATGTTTTATTGTTGATAGCAAAGCAAAGCAAATGATTCTGCGTATCATATTTCCAAACACCTTAACTGTAGAAAATAAAGCTACAGAAATTTGATAAAGAGATATCTCTTAGGAAGAGAGCCACTTAAAAAAAATAAACAGCATAAATTATGGTCAAATTTAAGAGCTCCATGTGTATTTAATATAAGCAAAGTATTAACATGGCATTCAAACAGTCCTTTTTAGGGGTGCCTGCGGGGCTCAGGCGGTTAAGCATCCGACTTCAGCTCAGATCATGATCTCACGGTTCCTGGGTTCGAGCCCTGCATCGGGCTCTGTGTCTCCCTCTCTCTCTGCCCTTCCCCCACTCACGTGCTCCCTTGCTCTCTCTCCTCCCCCTTCAAATAAACATAAAAATTTTGGGGCGCCTGGGTGGCGCAGTCGGTTAAGCGTCCGACTTCAGCCAGGTCACGATCTCGCGGTCCGTGAGTTCGAGCCCCGCGTCGGGCTCTGGGCTGATGGCTCGGAGCCTGGAGCCTGTTTCCGATTCTGTGTCTCCCTCTCTCTCTGCTCCTCCCCCGTTCATGCTCTGTCTCTCTCTGTCCCAAAAATAAATAAACGTTGAAAAAAAAAAAAAAATTTAAACATAAAAATTTTTTTTAAATAGTTATTTTCATAAAAGATCCTATCTCAGATTCTTCTTCTCCTTCACTTACTTTGGTCTTAACACGGCCTTTCTGGAGAGGCCTGACTATCCTGGCTAAGCCAGTACCTTCTCTCTCTCCTTATGCTGAGACCAGGTGCCACGCCTCTAAACCCTGCAAAAGGCTCCCATTACACTGACAGAAAAAAAAACCCAAAAACCTTGTAACAGTGAGACTGTACTGATGAGGGCACAAGCCTCACCCAACCCTCTGTTCTCCACCCCGTCCGTCTCCATCATCCTCCCTGCTAGCTCATCCTGCTCCAGCCACGCCGTCCGAACTCCTGAGGCGCATTCTGACTTCGGGGCCTTTGCACCGGCTGGTCCTTCTGCGTGGAACGTGTGCTTCCCATTTAAGTGCACACTAGCCCCTTACCTGCTTCAAGTTGTTGCTCACCTGTCACCTTCTCAGTGAGGCTTACCCCCAGGCCAGCCTGCATAAGATGACACAACTCCCCATCCTGGACTTCTGGCCCCTTCTCCGTATTCTGCTCTAAGTACTCACCACCTTCTAACATAGTGTGTCATTTACAGAGTTACATAGTTACTGTCTTATGTCTGTTGGGTGCCCTCCAGTCCCGCAAGAACAGGGTTCTGTCATTGTCATCATGCTTAGAACTGCATTCCAAGAGCCTCAAACCATACCTGCTCCCCAGCAGGTGCTCAATCAGTATTTGCTGAACGAACGGACTCAACGCACGAATGGACGGAACGGACATATCGACACTTGTCTGAATTAATTTACTTAAATCTCGTCAATGTGCCGAAAGGAACTGTTACAGAGAAAATAAAAGTTCATGTCTTGCTGTCTGCATACATGCAGTTTTCTTGTCTACACTGTCCTTCTTCCTGACTCCTGACACTCCCTCCCTGTTCGTGTATATGCTCAGCCAGACAAGTTCCAGCTAAACCTCCCAAACTAATACATCTTCTCAAAGCACCATCTTTCTTGGCGTGAACCTTGGAGAGGCGCCCCTCCTGATCCTCCCCAGGGACCTATGCTCATGTTTCTCATGTACTGCAGAAACTATTTTTTCCCATACCGAAATGTGAGTTCCTTGACAGTAGAAACCATTCTGATTTGCTCTCCCCTTCCTGGTGCAGAGCTCACATTACATAACATGAGATAGGCACTCAGTATATATTTTGTGTGTAAACAGCATTTTTTTTTTTTAAACCTACTAATCTGAATGAATAGTGAATCACAGAAATTTACCTCTTACTTGTTTCCTTAGTTTTTCAATTTCTTCTTTTAAGGTTTTGATCTCTAAATCTTTGCTTGCCGTGAGCGGACCGTCAGCAGTTGAATACTGCAGTGCTTGAACAGTCTGTGTTGACTCTTTAAAAAAAAAAAAGAATAAAGGATAAAATGAGAAATATGGCCATATTAAACATTTTTTTAACTAACAGCAATATATTTCTTTTTTTTTAATGTTAATTTATTTATGCTGAGACCAAGTGAGCAGGGGAGGGGCAGAGAGAGAGGGAGACAGAATCCCAAGGAGGCTCTGCACTGTCAGCACAGAGCTCAACACGGGGTTCGAAGTCATGAACCGTGAGATCATGACCTGAGCTGAAATGAAGAGTCAGATGCCTAACCAACTGAGCCACCCAGGCGCCCCAATATATTTCTTTCTAGAGAAATCCATATATAATTCTACTGATCAAAACATCTACTCAAAAAGCATGCAAACACATCACAATTAAATCCCAAAACTCCAACACATGTGTCTTTAAAAGTATAACAGACGTAGGAAAGGACTGGCCTTCTACCAAACACAGCAGGTGCACTTCACCAGTGACTCAACCCATTCAGGTCCCTTTCATTCTGGCAAGAAGGGTCATCATATGGTAACCCAAAAACTTCCTGGGTCAGATGATGCATTAAAAACAGTCTGGTGTGTGAAGGGAGGTTTAGAGATGTTAACACCAGTTGTCCTTGAAAAATGCAGGGGGTCTGGGGCACTGATCCTCCCCCATGCAGTTGAGAATCTGTGTATGACTTTTTTTTTTTGAAGTTTTTAAAATGTTTATTTATTTTTGAGAGAGAGAGAGGGAGATAGAACATGAGCAGGGGAAGGGCAGAGAGAGAGAGAGGGAGACACAGAATCCGAAGCAGGCTCCAGGCTCTGAGCTGCCAGGACAGAGCCTGACGCGGGGTTCGAACCCACGGACTGTGAGATCGTGTGACCAGAGCCAAAGTCCGACGCTTAACTGACTGAGCCACCCAGGCGCCCTGAAAATCTGTATATGAGCTTTGACTCCCCGAAAACTTAACTACTAATAACCTCCTGGTGATCAGAAGCCTAACCAATAACATAAACTGCCGATTAACACAGATTTTGTAATCTATGTGCATTATACACTGTATTCTTACGATAACGTAAGCCAGAGAAACAAAAATGTTACTGAGAAAATCATGAGGAAGAGAAAACACATTTACAGTATGATACTGTATTTATCAAAAAGGAAGTAAGTGCACAGGACCACGCAGTTCAAAGCTGCACTGTTTCAAGGGTCGAGTGTATACGATGTACAGAAATGCCAGCCTCCAGATTTTATGTATGACTCTGGCTCATCAATTTAGCTAAAACAGATTACTTTACCTTGCGGTTCTACTCAGAAGATAAAAAGTATTAAAGAAATGTTAACTCCACTGAAGTGTTTTTCCAGATATTAGCAGAAGATCTGGAAAAAACGCAAACTTTAAAAGAATTTTATGTCAGAAACAAAACCACCCTGTGCTACAACAGTTGCAGCACTATTTTATGGAGGGTTGGCCATAGCAAGTCTCCACCTTCACCGTAATCGTCTGTCACTACAAATCATGACTGATTGCTTTATACCAGTTAACGTTATTTTATACTGCTTTATGTAACTTATTTCTATGGCATATTATTACTTATATATATTACTTATATTTTACACACACACACACACACACACACACACACACACACACAAGCTCCAAAACATTGCAGCCTTCAAAAGAGGGGGGTTTTCTAATTAATTTTCACCATCTGTACAGAGAATAGTATCATCATCTTTGTATGCACGGTGGCCGATAAATATTTGTTAACTTGAACTAAAGGTGTAAGATATACCTATCACGCATCCGACTGTGATCTTCTGCATCCAATAAGTACATCTTATACGTTTATTTTTGGGTTCAAAACATGGTAAATATTGGTATATTTGGTATTTCTTATTTTTAAAGAAACATCCCTTGTTTGTTTTAAGAAGACACCGAAGTTGGGAGTAGGAGAAGGGAGATCTAAAAATAGCCCTGGGGTACTAGTAACAGCTACTTTTCTTCCTAGACTCCACTTCCGGTCTGCTAAAACGCCCATTACCTGTCTGCTGGGGTTATTAGCCATTCTTATTCTCTCTTTGAATAACAATTTCGCACATTGTTCACTGCGCTTCTTACCATTACGACCCTTTTCATTACTCCTAGTAAACTCTCACATCAAAATAGACAATCCACCCAACACTCTGGCTTTCTGGCAAACAAACCCCCCAAGGCAGACACTGTTGGGGCTTTTTACCTAGAAGCGATTCCCCTCTCACTGCTTGTGAACCACATTCCGGCATCAGGCTCCAAGGCAGACCAGCCAAAGACAGAAGACGCTTCGAATCAATCATGGTAGTCCCACGCTACGTGCCGAGTACCGGTTAAGAATTAGGTATGTGACCTAGTTAGAACTCCCAGTGCCTTGAGAAGAAGTCCCCTAAGGGCTTCCTGGAAGAGTTTTAATCTCCTGTGGAGTAAGAGATGGATGAAAGGAAAGGAACCTTCTTTCGGTCTCCGCACGTGTGCGCACACGAGGTCTGGGACTTGGGCAGTACGGCAGAATCAGGAGGGGAAAGCCGTGAACATCAAAGGGAAGCTAAGCCCCAAATTGGCCCTGCAATGGTCTACTTCTGCCGTCCTGAGATAACAAATCCATATTATTTAAGAAGTCTATGACTTGCAGCCCAAAACAACCTAGCTGGGAGACTTTTTTCCGGCTACACCGCCAGATCCGCGGGTCACAGCCCGGACCCACAGCTCCTGCCTCACGTGAACCTAGAAACGTGTATGTGTGCAGG